GCTGAAGACGAGCTTCTCCAGCAGAGGCGCCGCTTGCAGGACCTTGACGAGCCTGTGGCAGTGTGTCGAGCGACAGGAGAGCTCCAAGGAGCGGAGGTTGCTGAAGAGGAACGTATGATTCGAGTAGTGGAGAGAATACTCGTGCAGAGACAGGTGTCTCAGTTTGGGCACGATGCCGCCGAGGAAGGGGAGTTGTAAATTGAAGGGGCCAAGGACCTCGGAGAAGACGATCTTGAGAGATTCCAGGTGCGGTGCGGGCCTCGCAAGCCCGTTGTACTCGGCTAACGCGGCGAGCTTGATTATCGCATCGGCGTTGGCGTCGATGACGAGAGAGCGGGCACGGCGGATATTTCCCAGCTTGACCATGACAGCACCCGACCAGAGTAGGCCCAGCTGAGGATCCGCTATAGGGTTGTCGGGCGGAGAAGGGTTCAGCCCTTCCGGGCTGTACCGCTGGTCTATGACAAGATCCAGTGTGTAGTTCTTGCTTCTTGGAAGGATTTCCTCAAGTAGGCAAGGGTTACAATTGGACGGCCTTCGCCAGAGGGTGGCGTCGCCCAGCGCGACGTACCGCCAGAAGCGGCAGACGTGTGTGGCCGCGAGGAGACTGTCGCTGTAACCATCGGCGACAAGGGAGCGGAAGATGTCACAAAGACACTCTGCCGGGATTTGGTCGGATAGACGGCGCATATTGTCAACGGCAGGCGCGTTTACCTCGGTCATGATGGCACCCGAGAGTAATCAATGGTTAATGACCAACAAGAGATATGTCAATTGAAGCCAGGCCGCGAGGCCTTCGGTCTCTGGATAAGAAAAGGAGTTCTAAATAACGTGTTAGTAGATGGGGATGGAGAATATCCCTGCGTAAATGGTAGGGTATGGTGTGGTTGCGGATCGTTAGAACCGCTGAATTATATTCCCTTCATGAGCGATTGCCACGTCAGAGAAAGCGATGAGAGCAATCACCTATGGCAAGAGTGCGTAAATGGACTCTTCAATAATCGCTGGTTAATTTACTCTTGGATGTGGCTTTGGTGTCGCAGCTGGGCGTGTGGCTGCGAACAACAAGGTTATATTTGGGTGCGCGTCGATTTATAAGTCCAATGTTTGCCCCTGTTTGACGCCGTGGCGACGGCGCCTCCGGTGGCAATTGGCATTCTCAAGGTAAACCGGGCTGCTTGGACCTGCCATACGAATCCTGCGCTCCGTGCATAAGAATGCTGGCAAGCCGCTGAATTTCTCAAACGTTCACGACGCTCGCTCGCATCCCACTCAGTCGCTGGCCGGTGTCGTCCTAAACGCTCGCTACAATGTACCAGGCCGAGTCGCGCCCCTCGTCTTTCTACCAGGCGGACCCGCAGTCCCGCACGCCCTCCATCAGCTCGCGCGACCTCATCAACGGCGAGTACCCTCTACATTCCTCACCCGACGGGCGCAAGCCGCGCTCGCGCAGCCGGCCACCTCGTTTGTCGCAGGCGCAGTTCGACCAGGGCGACCCCGACGCGCCGGACGCCGCATACGCCCCCGACGGCGACGACTTCTACCAGAGCACGCAGCAGGGCTCGCCCTACCCGCCGCCGCCGCGCTCGCTCGCCGGCCAGTCCGCGCGCGGCGCCTCGCCGACGCCGATCCTCGACCACTCGCACCTGCAGCCGGGGAGCAAGGCCGCGCTGCTCTCGCACGAGCGCACGCTCGAGCTCTACCGCGCGAACGCGAAGAAGACGCAGGACCCGGACCTGCAGTTCGAGTTCGCGGTGTTCATGATCGACGCGAGCAAGACGCTGCCCGTGCCCGAGCCGACGCCGGGGAACGTGATGGAGGTCGAGAAGGCGCTCGCGAAGCGCGAGGACCTGATCAAGGAGGCGACGGCGCTGCTCAAGCGCCTCGCGGACCGCGGGCACCCTGCGTCGCAGTATTTCCTCGCGGATTGCTATGCGAACGGGATCGGCACGGCGAAGGGGAAGCAGGACTTTGACCGCGCGTTCCCGCTGTTCGTGCTCGCGGCCAAGCACGGGCACCCGGATGCGGCGTACAGGGCGGGGACGTGCTGCGAGAATGGCTGGGGGTGCAGGCGAGAGTCCGCGAAGGCGCTGCAGTTCTACCGGAAAGCCGCGGCCGCGTCGCATCCAGGCGCGATGTACCGGCTAGGTATCGCGGAGCTGAATGGGGAACTGGGCATGTCGAAGAGGCCGAGGGAGGGAGTCAAGTGGCTAAAGCGGTCCGCGGAGCATGCGACAGCTGAGTTCCCCCATGCTCTTCACGAGCTGGCACTGCTGCACGAGCGGGGGGTCGAGAACGTCGTGTTCGTGGACTACGAGTACGCCGCGGAACTGTTGGCACAGGCAGCCGAGCTGGGGTATTCCCCGAGCGCGTATCGGTTAGGCGAGTGCTATGAGTACGGAAAGATGGGGTGTCCGCAGGACCCTGCATTATCAATACACTACTACGTACGTGACTTATTCTATACCTTCCTCCATCAATAAGTATTGACCCCCGCGTAGAATATCGCCGCCCAGCAAAACCATCGCGATGCCTGCTTTGCATTAACGGCATGGTACCTGGTGGGCTCTCCAGGCGTGCTGCCCCAGTCGGATACAGAAGCCTTCTTGTGGGCGAAGAAAGCGGCAGAGGGCGGTCTGGCAAAGGCGATGTACGCCGTCGGCTACTTTCTGGAAGTAGGCATCGGGACGCCGCCTGATCTTCAGGAGTGAGTACTGTTCTCCTGTTCATATGATGCTGCGGGTTCGGCACTGACTGCGCCGTGCTGCTCTAGAGCCACGATGTGGTACAAGAAGGCGGCGGAGCTCGGCGACCGACGCGCGATCCAGCGGCTACGGGGCGACCCCAATACGCCCTTGCAGCACGCCGGGGGACCGGGCGCGGTCCTGCACCGAGACCGCGACGGCGACTCGAGCAGCAACTCGAAAGGCGGGAAGGACAAGGACTGCGTAATTATGTGAGGGGCGTCTGGTGGCCAGGTGATAGTAGAGTACCCGTTTCACGCGTTTATTCTGGTTTAAAGTTCGAGGCAAGGACTGTTCGCGCTGTTTACTACCCCCCACCTTTTTTTATGACACCCATTGGAGACTGCTCATGAGATGATTGTGCTCTCTTTGTAACCCCATAGCGAAGCTTACGGACACCAATCTATTAATCGCGGCTACATTGTACTTACTATATTAGAAAGTAAGAAAGTAGTGAAATTCCCGCTACCGTAGGTAGTGGGTCTTGGACCCCCCAGCCGTTCGCTGCGATCGTTTCAAGATCTACGCGATCCGTTTGTCATTGGCATATATGGTAGTAGGACCTTTGCCACTGCTACGTACTGCAAGTTATCCCCCTCTAATCCCACCATATCGTCTCATTGCTGCTGCCGTCCACACCAGCGCCCCCAATTAACTGCTGGAGTCAAGACTCCTCTGAAAGTGACGGGATAGATAAGTTGCTTTATATTAACATTGCAATGCTTACTTGATGCAAAGGTTTAGCCCCATCCCGATGCATTATGCGGAGGACCCAATCCCGACTCCTGAGTCCGCGGCCTTTCTGTAGGTGAGGTGTTTACGATGCGTGCTTGACTCCAACTGCTCCTAACTGACACGGTGAGCGAATATGGGATTTATCGAGGTTCTGCGACAGCCTTTGGCAGTGACTCGGAGAGGAGCTCCAGGATGCTCTCTCTCACAAAAGCTGTTGTCTCCGCCATGGACACTCCAGGCGATGACTGTGAGCGGATTGAGTTTCCATGAGCGGATCCTCAAACACGCAACGGATCATTGTCCAGTGAGCGGGGTGCCATTCGCTCAGCTTTTGGTCCTTAATTGACATGTCAGCACATCTGCGTAAGTACGAGAACCAGCGGTTGAGTTCTTCTCTCCCTCTTGCCGTCCTAGGGCCCAAACAGCGGATAGCAGGGTAGAGACATACTGCTGTCTGGTGAAGGACTGTCCTGCACCTTTTGAACCACCGGACAGTCATGTCCCGAGCTAAAAGTATGTTCCTCTGATAGGGGTCTGTTCCCTGGTCCGGGCACGACTCAGGACAATGACTACATGCATTGATCTACACATCCATTTGCCCATAGGTATGTCAAACTTTATTATGTTCTGGGGGAAGCTGGTACTGATTTTGCATCACACAATATTAATATTAATGTTAGGTGAGATTCAGTGATGCTCGGAATCTTTTATCTCCGGACTGAAGGATAGTGGAGAGAACCCGGTCTGTAACAGCCTTTTAAGACTATTGTTAAGTGGAATTCTGTATGCATTCATGTAGTCTAGGGGTGGAGAGGGGCAGCAGTCTCAAGGAGACAAAAGCAACTAGGTGAGTTTGGTTGTACCTGTTGACAATGTGATTATACTAATCCCTCCGCTGATTGAGTTGTGCAGCCCAAGGCATCCCCGGTCGCCTCTCAGCGAGGCCAAGATCTGCTTGCCCAGGGTGGTCCTGCTCCGTGTATGCAGCTGCGCTCGATGTCGGTGTTCATTGTGACCCGGCGTGGCTCTTGAAATTAGCGGTAGGGGGTTACTTGCATCGATGTGAGGTTCTGGTGTGAGGTGGTAGTAGTACAGAGTGTAATAATCACTACCGTACACAGCAGGATAATATATTTACATTTTATCATTTTATGCCAAGCTTAGGATGGTAACAGCCTTCTCGACTTGTGACTGAGTACCGAGTGCACTGATTCCTAGTAAGCAGGAATTGGTTTCTTGCTAAAATATGGGTAAGGGAGTCAGTGCTATCATGATTGTATATTCGGATCCTGGTTGTTTGTCGAGAAAACAAGGGTGTCAATGGTCCTAGCTAGATTCAGCCACCGGAATGTGCCGACTGAGTGTGACCGTCCGGCCTTCCATACATCAGGAAAATGCAAAACCGCCTTTCAACATCTTAGAGCAATCTTTTGGCATTTAGGTGCCCGACTTGGCTTACTTTTCCTTATTCAAGCCTCAAAGAAGGCCACAAGCGCCGAAAAAGTGGGCATTAAGATGTAGTTAAGCCAAATCAAGCCAAGTCCCTGGCCAAAGTCGGGTAACATTTTGCTGATGTATATGTACAGCGCCTTGCATAAGAAACTGAACAGCGCATTTCCGTGCGCGTTATTTGTTCGCGCCAAATATACCCTTTTCAGGAGGTCCAGAAGGCCTCTCGTGAGACTGTTTGCTGGGCAGGGACTTGCAGATGCCCCGAGAGGGCTTGAAAGGCTTCAGAGAATGAATGAAATGTATACACTAAGGGATGTAAATCATTATACTCTGCCCCCAGCTGTATGCCTAGCTACCATCTCTCTTGATGGGTCTTTGCCGCACATTTGCCAATACCCGAAAAGGGTATATTTGGCGCGGACAAACAATGCGTGCGAAAATGCACTGTTCAGTTTTCACTGGGTGCCCATATTGAGCCACTGCGAAAGTGTGAAAGAAACCGGACAAAGGTCAAAGTTTGTTCATAGTGTTGCCTTGCAAAACATATGAAAGTTCAATGAAAAGTGCTGAACAAAGAACATATCCTGTGCCACAATCAGATTTTTGCACACTCAAAAGTAGTATTATTCTAATTCGGTTCACTGATTGTGTGGTGGAGACCCAAGGACTCGTTGATGAGGCCCGTTGCTCATAAACTCTTATGTGGGATAATGAATCAAGAGGAGTGAATGGGATGCATAGATTACCTGAATGGTGCTGGAGAGTAGGCTCGGAGGTTAGGGTGGACTTCTGCTACAGGAGAGACAATTCCCTCTTTCCAAGCTTGTCTTGCCAATATTGGATTTGGTTGACCCTCAAGACACATGCTTGATTTCCCTTAAGCTAGCTTCAGAGAACTTGGGGGGAGTGGGCCAATGCTGTGCATGGCTGGTTACGAGTCCTGAGCTGGGCATAAGATACTCCCTATTTTACACTGTATATCATAGAGCTGACACAAATATTCCTATCTTTCTTGAAGTATTATTTGAATTTCACTAGACCTCTCAGGATTATCTTGAATATTCCTTGATTTGCTAGAGAGCTCTGAATATATTATGGATTTCCCGCATTTTTCACAAATTTTCTGGCCCTTCTACAGCCTGCAATCAATTCCAGATACCAATGATGTAATGGCTCTGTAGATCGGGTGAACCTGCAGAGAGCCTATGTCATAGAAGGCAGGAGCCAATCAGAGTCCAGGAATCCAAACCGACGCGGCCCGAGCCACTGACTACAAGCCACTACAATAGTCAATTCCCACGATAAGCAATAAAAGTAAAACCGCCATGCAGACTAGGACAAGACACACAATCGATAAATTCACAAAATTATTGTTGTAGACCCATATAGCATACGCCCCAGACTAGAGAAAATAAATTAGAGATAAGACGAAGAATTGAGCCCGCAAATGAGCAAACAATGGTCACAGAGACTACAAAAACGCGCCAAAAGTGGTTTTGTAGTCTCACATACAAACGGACTTTAAAACGGAGTTTCAAAAGTGTAGTCTACAATACAAAGTATAACTCCCACGACTTCTCGGCACAAAAGGTTCTCACGGGGTACAACGTTCGGCACGCAGGCATATTTTGCGCGTAAGGACTCGTCCTTCGTACCTCAGGACTCGTAACATAACCATACAAATTCGAGATCAGTGATTGAACGGTAGCGGGCTCTACTGTGCTCGCGCGGCCTTACCGCCTTATACGAGATATTTGCTGCTGTTTGTTACCCCTAGGTCACGTGCGCGATCCCGCGTATACGAAGCGACGCGTGAACCTC